ATAGGACGAAATTGTATGTAGAGTAAAAAAAAAAACAAACAATGTATTTCTTTTTTTTTTTTCGTTTTGATGGGGCGTGTGGTGTCATAATAGGGTGATGTCATTAACCTACTTTAAGTTAGTATTTAAGCTATTATATCTTATTATATTAGAGACTTATTAAAGTGTATTCGAACCTAGTGGTTGTCTTATTACAATCCCGCTCCGAACCCTATATCGCACCTCTGATATTTTCATGTGCGAATCATTTCTAACACAATTACCACTTGTCTTAACGGTGAAGTAAAACATCGTGAGGAAACCTGCATGCCTGAGAGAACCCAGCAAGTTTTCAAAAGACATGTGAAGTCCGCCAACCTGCAACCCCTCGTACTGAAGGGAGGCCCGTGCCCAGCAGTGGGACGTTAAAAAGGGCTGAATACATACATACATAAATACATACAAAAGGTATCCTAAATGTTGACTCGAGTAATAAGTTATCACCAAATTTCGTTGAAATCGGTACATTACTTTTCGCGTGAAACGCTCACGCAAAAACAGACAAACAGACATACAGGCAAACAGACAAACAGACAACTTAAGTTGACGTTTATGTTGTGTACATAATACGTTACAAATAAACAAAAACATCTATCCCACGGGAACAGTACATTTTTCCGGGATAAAAAGTAACCTATTTCTTATTCTGATGTATGAACTATATATATTATTGTAAAGTTTCATCAAAATCCAATCAGTAGTTTTTGTGTACTAAGCTGTATAAGTTACTATAGTTTTTTGGCTATCCCACAGAAACTCTTTTTAATTTTCCGGGATGAAAAGTAGCTGATTTGTTTTAGTCATGTATGAACTATATTATTGTAAGGTTTCATTAAAATCCAATCAGTAGTTTTTGTGTACTAAGCTGTATAAGTTGTTATAGTTTTTTAACTATCCCACGGGAACTCTTTAATTTTCCGGGATGAAAAGTATCTAAGATATTGCACGGCGATATAAGGTACCACCATGCAAAATTTTATTTAAATCGGTCCAATAGATTCGGAGATTAGCCCGTACAAACAGGAAAACAGATAAACAGCTCGCTCGGGTTCGTCCATACCTACGAATACGTTGTATTATCTCTTTAACCATTTGTCCAAATTATATGCAGTAAAAGGGAAAAGTCTTTTGTTTTAAACATTTTAGACGATAAATTTACTTATTTTGATAAGAATTCATAATTGTTGATAATATGACCAATAAACATGACCTACCGATTTAAATTATTTTTTTAATATAAAAAACTACTTATTGTGACTTAAATATAAAAGTTAGACATATGCTGTCGCTGACTTTTTTGTAGGCATTATTAAGCTCTACAACTTTTCTCTAGAACATAATCATATATCTCTCACCGTTAATGCAGCGTTCGTAAGAAACCTTTTCGTTCGACCGTTTCTTCTCCGACTTACTTTGCAAATCCGACTACCACGAAAAAGCCTTTTCATTCTTCGCGTTAATATAGCCTATGACACTCAGAAAGAACGTGGCTTTCTATTGGTAAAAGAATTTTGAAAATCGGTTCAGTAGATCCAGAGATTACCCCCTACAACGTCACAAACTCACAAACTCACAAACCCACAAACTCACAAGATCACAAACTTTACCTCTTTATACTTAAAACTAAACTTTAACTTTATACTAATATTTAGTATAGATAATCAAATTCTGAGTCGAAACTGTGCATGAACAACACGAGCGGAGCGAGAGTGAGTCGTTAGTCTATACATATAATAAAATTGTAATAAGTCGAATCTGTATTTTAAATATTTTTTCGAAAATCTTATTGAAATAAACATTATCGATATAGAGGCCAAATCTATAGTTTTTAGAATTTTTGTCTGTCTGTCTGTCTATTACCGCATCGCAGTAAAACCACTAGAGGGCTTTTGATGAAATTTGGTATGGTGATAGCTGGTTATCCGGGTTAACATATAGGATATTTTTTACCGCGGAAAAATGTCTCATTTTTGAGAAAAAATACAAAAACTGCAATGTGAGAGTATACTAATATTATGTAAAATCTAAGAATTTGGTTCTTGGTCATCTGAACGCGAGCAGAGCCGCGGGCAATGCTAGTATTAAAAAACTTTTATCTAGAGCAGCCTGTATAGAGATATTTGTATTACAAACCGGTTATACGCTAGTACAGTGACGAGCCACTGCCGTTTTAAAACAATATAATCAAGTTGGTAATATTCTTATCTGATTTTAATAGATGCATAATTGTATCTATAATCTACCGCGTACAAATCCGCAGTGCACAGGAAAATCATAGACAGGTACATGGTTTTTGTTGTACTGTTTGTGTTTTGATTAGTGTGTTAAAAAATGTCATGAAAGTTTAAATAAATAAATAAAATAATAATAGGCTTAAAAGATTTTATAAGTTTTTTTTAACGTATTGTTTTAAGTAATTATTTTTTGTTTGTTATTGTGCCGTTAAACTTGTAAAGTATAAATGAAACAATCGTATTCTTTCCTTTTATTTTAATTTTTTGTCTTTAATATTTCGAATGTTTTACACTAAATATGATCACAAATGAAACTAAAGTTGATGTCAAACATCAAAGAGTCTTTTGATCACATTAAGAAATAAGACCGTTTGGCAATAAAGAATATTTAGAGTTGATTAACGATTTTCCATACAAAATGTATGGGAAAAGTTTTTGGCGATTTCTGTCATTTCTAGTACTCATACCTCAAATGGTCCCATAGAGCCTTTTGATCCCTACGTGAAATAGGAACGATTGACATACAATTTTTTTTGGTATTTTAGATTTTTTTCGCTGACTGTACACTTTTTTCAAAATCTGTGAATACACTTCAGAATATCTCAAAAAGTTATGGATGGTTTCTAGGAACGTTTTCTTGTAAATATAACAGTTAAGGTACCTGCCATTACTGTCCCGTCTCAAAAATCCACCCTGTATACATTCATAATTGACTATATTTACATATTCATAATTGTAGACAAAGGTCATATTATAAGCCAAATAAATTTACCGAATATGTTATATTAAATGATATGAACGGACGTTGCAATTTGCGTGGTGCAAGGTCTTCTCGAAGTTCGAAGAAGTCTACGCTGCACGCGGCAGTGCACGTGGTCGCGAACTTGATTTGGAGATTGTTATAGAATTTTCGATTAAACTGTCGTTTGTATGCTAAACATAATAGTTTACATTGACCTAAAGGACACGCAATGAATACATTAATAGATTCTTTAAGCTTCTGGAAATACATCTTTTATATGAGTATAATTTAAAAAAAAGTAATTGAATAAGAAGCGAAATAGATCTTCACTTTTTATTTTATTAATAAACTAGCGACTCACCCGACATAAGACAGAGAGGACAGACAAACAGGATAGACAGGACAGACAGACAGAACAGACAGACAGGCAGAACAGGCAGGATAAACAGGCTTCAATTAAGTAATTAATAAGGATTTTACTCCTCATTTGTGCCAGTCACACCAGGTGTTCCTCAAGGCTCTCATCTCGGGCCTCTTCTTTTTAATATCTTCATTAATAAAACTCATTTGATTATTTTTTGGCTGTCAATGAAAGTGATAATTGTCAATTATTACAGAGTAATCTTGATAGGTTGTGTCGACTGTTGATTTTAATAGTGATGGCCTTATTCTTAATGTTAAAAAATGTATTGTCATAAGTTTTTTACGTAAGACAAATATTGTCAAATACGATTACATCTATACATATAATAAAACTGTAGAGGTCGAATGCCTGTACATAAAAAGAAAATTGCTAAAATCCGAGTCAGGATGTAAGAAGAGAAATAGACAAATCCAGTTTTTTTTTTAATTTTTGTGTCTGTCTGTTAATCTGTTTGTACGGGCTAATCTGCGAAGTCGTTTGACCGATTTAAATGAAATTTTGCATAGTGGTACCTTATATTCCCTGTCAACATTTTAGTATAATAAAAGAGTCCCCGTGGGAAAGTTAAAAAAACTATAGTAAATTATATAGCTTAGTATACAAAAACTTGCCTTTATACTTAAAATAGGAAAATATTTTTGTAACAATTCCACTGTAATTGTTCTATACAATGCCTATGTTCTTTCTATATGTACTTGAATATGCTTCTTCCATTTGGAATCCACAGTACAGTAAATATATAAATAGAATAGAAAACACCGAGATTAAATTTAATAAGCATCTATAATTATATAGATGAAAAATCTACAATCAGGAACTTTCTCATGTAGTCTCCCTATTGGATCGTCGATGCTAAAGGGATGAAATTTTTCAATTTAAAATTATCAGAAATCATGTCATGAGTGCATTCACCATTTCTTTTAAGTAATATTTATTTAAGACGTCCTCGTCCGCAATCACGTAATTTTTCATTATTTTATCTGTCTAGAATAACAACTAATTATGCACGTAATAGCATTTTATACCGTTCTTGCAAATTGCGTAATGAAATATTTAATGACATAGATTTATTTTCCCTTTCTTTAAATAAGTTTAAAATTTTAACTGGAAGTGTCTGTTCGAGATCGTTTACCTGTTCTTGTTATATACTTTAATTTTAATAAGCTAACATGCATTAAACCTACCTTAAGAATTTGTGAACTGTGAAGACTTAATTGGTGTATGTAAAGTTTTTGTTTCTTTTTGTACAATTTCTGACAATAGTTTAAGATATGAATATCTAATAGGTAAATATAATTAGTTATGAACTCTTATTATAGTTAAAATATTATACATCAATTTGTAATGTATTTTACGTATCGAAATATATTAGATTTGCTTTGCATCGGCTGGCACCGACTTCGAAAATATCTGATTAGGTATCTATTCTAAATGAAAACCTGAGTTTAGTTATTTTTTACTTATTAGTGCCTCGAAGTCGGTTCTTTTAAATATGTTAAAGACCGAAAATTAAGCAATTAAAAATTATTTTATTCTTAGCACATTAAATAAATAAACTTACTTCTGTGTTAATCTCAGTTTTTGTGTAAGATGAACACTTTCAGGATCAGTCCCCTGTAGCTTTCTCCAGCGATGCACATTGAGAGGGGTCTCTAACGCCTCTTCTAGCGCTCGGACACGGAGTCTTTCGCGCCCCAGCTCTCTTTCTAAGTTGAATACCTAAGAGTATTGTTAATATAAATAAAGTTATATATAAGATAATTACATTATATAATAATTAAAATAACCCTGAAAAATATTTCATTTCTTTCAAGAAAATACTTTATGACGCAAGCGACATTTTCTTTACACAATTAGGTTAACACATAGATGAATTGAACATTTAAATTTAGCTCTTATGTTATTTTATACTTTATAATTTTAAGTCATTGTTGAATAATAAGTACATTTTTTTTAAATGAAAGTTACATTTCACTCCCTAGAATACCCTATAACTATAATACACAAGTTAACGGAAACCTACATACAAATATATTATATTTTTTCTGTGAAATGATATAATGAATATAATTTTGTTTGCAGGATTACTCCTCTCAACAAATAAATAAACACGTGTTTTGTTCTTTCGCAAAAACAACCCTTCAGGAGGTGGTAGATAGTATAGTGTAAAAACCAAAGTGGGTGTCGTTCTGGTTTGTCGGGACGCTGATCACGTAAATGTTATCAATTTTGAGATTTATTACACACGAATAACAAAAAAAAAGCCAAAAAGTTCTATTTTATTATTATGTAAACGCTTAAGCTAAAACTTATCAATCAAAATGAAACTTGGCGCGAGCGAAGCTGCGGGCAAAAGCTAGTAGATAAAGTAGTCTATACTTAAAATTATCGAATTTTCATTGCTAACTGCTGAATATAATTATTTATTTAAATTTTATGTGCATATTAATAAAATATCAATGTAGACTAAATAATATTCTAGATAAATTGTACCTAATTCTAGATAGACGTATTAAAGATACGTTAGTAGGTTTTTAAAAAAGTTTCCGCTGTATGATTACATTATTTTGCATATTTCCAAGGTGTATAAAGCTCTTACTAAGTTTTATATTGCAACAAAATAAGCAACCTCCAACAGGTCCCAACAGGTCTTTTTAATGATTGACAAGCTAAAACTTTACGAGTAGCTTCGTTTTGAAGAAGCGCTCGACTTTTCTTTCTTTGTACGAAAGTTTGTAGTGGTAGACAAAATTGTGGATTCATACGGAACATGCCGAAACGTTGATTTTCTTCCGCGGTGATACTTTATTAATTAATAACAAGCTATTTTATTTTTAAGAAATAAAATGAGAAACACAATTGTATCTAACACTATCAAACTTTCGTAGGAAGAAAAGTTGAGCGCCTTGTCCAAACGAAACTACTCGTCAAGTTTTATTTTGTTATTAATTATTAAAAAACTGTACTACTAACAAACTGACTGTAGACTATATACTTGAAAAAATAGATTAAAAATATATCTCTGCTACCTTTAGGTAACCTTTGATTATATTTGCATAATATCAAATGGCTACTCCTTTATTTTTTTTGTCTATCAGTTAGTTCAGCGATTTTGTGTTGATGTGGTCGAAGCTCTTTCTAATTAACACTTTTTGATGGTGCTTCGGAGAGAAAAAGTATAGATTTTTTGAAATTGGAATGATTCTTATTTAATATGTATGTATGTAAGTATTCAGCCCTTTTTAACGTCCCACTGCTGGGCACGGGACTCCCTTTAGTACGGGAGGGATCAGGCTATAGTCCACCACGCTGGCCAAGTGCGGGTTGGCGGACTTCACATGTCGTTTGAAAACTTGCTAAGTTCTCTCAGACATGTAGGTTTCCTCACGATGTTTTCCTTCACCGTTAAGAAAAGTGGTAATCATGTTGGAAATGATTCGCACATGAAAATATCAGAGGTGCGAGATCATCATCAGCAAAAATTTTAATAACTATTTGTTTTGGGGTCTATATTGTGTACATAATACGTTACAGTCATTGTTTTAAAAAAATATTCAATGTTCAGATTTCGCTAAGTTACTGCTTCATTATAGTACTATAGTATAGACCAGGTAATATCTAAATTGTAAGGAAGGGTTTGTATGAGTTAAGATGAAAGATCGATATAAATAACAATATATACATCCATACTAATATTATAAATGTGAAAGTGTGTTTGTTTGTTTGTCCTTCTTTCACGTCAAAACAGAGTGACGGATTGGCGTGATTTTATATGTGGAGATAGCTGGAAAGTGACATAGGCTACTTTTTACCGCGGGAGATTATCTCATTCTTACGGGAAAACACGTTTTAATACCCACAATTCAAAAAAATACTTATGATGAGAATTACTTGAAACTTGGTTTTAATGCTCTTCAATATAAGGTTTTTCGGCGGGTAGACACGAAAGAGTATAGACGCGAATTTAACTGCTCGACTATAAATATATATATATATATATATATATATATATATATATATATATATATTAAATATATGTTTTAAAGTTTTTATTACCAGTTCATAAGTTGACTATTTATTCACTCTCACACAAACTTTCTTCACTAATTAACCATGGATACCCCTGTTGATCAACTTCTTAAGAGCATGGAACAGCTCTCCTCAATGTTCGCCACCAGGATGGGGGAGTTTGAGAAGAACTTGCAGCAACCTGGTCCCTCTGCATCCAACCCAACAGTAAAAGCCTTGTCTGCCGAATTCTATACATTTAAGACCTTTGTATGGAAATCACTCGGCATACTGAAATCCCAAGTTGAGCTTGTAGCCCAAGGCCTGGATCGTTTGGAGACACAATCACGGAGAAAAACTCTTCTTTTCCATGGTATTAAGGAGAATAAGGACGAAGACGTTATGAAAAAGGTCATGTCAGTATTAACCAGCCATTTGAAACTTTCAGACGCAAACCCTGATGTTATTGAATCTTGTCACAAAGTCAATTACTTTGACGACTTAGAAGATCTTCTAGATAGTCTGGTACCGAGTTATGAACATATTATTTTCATGGGTGATCTGAACACATGTCTATTAAAGAATGATTGTCGGACGCGAGCATTACACAACCTTACATCGTCATTTAATATGTATGTTCTCCCCATGACTAGCCCTACTCATTACTTTCCCAACAGTCGTCCATCTCTCATAGATATAATCTCTGTCTCTAAACCTACTCTTGCTGTTTCGCATGGTCAAATGACTGCACCTTTCTCACACCACCACTTAATTTATCTCGCTTACAAAGTGCGTCCTTCAAAGGTTAGAGGCAAGGTTATACTTCAGCGCAATTTTAAGCATATGGATCTAGAACGCTTGAGAGAGGATGTTAAAAACATCAACTGGTCAGCGATATTATCAGCGAACAACATTGATATCATGGTAGACTCTTTAACTGCTGAACTGATTAAACGACAAGCATGCGCCGGTTAGGCCAGTAAGGATGAAGCATGCTCCCGCTCCATGGTTATCGCCTGTGATTAAGAGGACCATGGCCAAGCGCGATAGGGCCAAAGCTAGGAACAAAAAATACCCTTCAACTGAAAATCTTGACGCCTATAAAAAATTACGTAACATCTGCAACAGAATGTGTAGGGATGCCAAACGTCGCTATATTCATTCCACGATTCAGGATCTCTGTCAAGCGCAAGTTTGGAGATTCCTATCGTCACTGGGTGTGGGCAAGACCACAGTAACTTGTCATAGTTCTGTGGATCTTAATGCTTTAAATTATCCTTTTACCACTCCACCTATAACTTTAAATTCTGACATAAAAACTGCTACTCTCTCATTCTTATCCAATCTTGCCCCCCCCCCCTGACCTACATCCATTCGTCTTTAAACCAGTCTCAGTAGATGATATAAAGAAGTGTGTCCGCTCTATTTCAACAAAAGCCATTGGCAGTGACAACATCAGTCTTGATTTGGTTCTTCCCGTACTAGAGGATATTGCACCTGTGATCTCCCACGTCATTAATTTCTCACTCACACGTAATGTCTTCCCATTAGTGTGGAAGAAAGCCATCGTCAATCCACTGCCTAAAACTTCGAATCTTACCTGTCTCTCCCAATACCGCCCTATATCTATCCTTCCTATGCTATCGAAACTCATAGAATCATTGGCTTATAAACAACTTTACTCTTATCTGTCTCACCATAGTCTCCTATGCCCTTACCAGTCCTGCTTCCGCTCTTCACATAGCACGGTGGGCGCCCTGCTGAATATCACGGAGGATATTCGTGGTGCAATGGATAACACCATGCTCACTGCGATGGCCTTGCTTGATTTTAGCAGTGCTTTCAACTCTGTTGACCTTGACATCCTAATTGAAACTCTTCGTGCGGTCAACATTTCTCCTACTGTTCTAGACTGGTTTCATTCTTATCTCTTCGGACGTCAGCAGTGCGTGAAAATCAACGATACATTATCGGATTGGTTAGATCTTCCTGCTGGTGTCCCTCAAGGCGGCGTACTTTCCCCTTTTCTCTTTTCCATCTTCATTAATAACATTTCAAAAGTCATTTCTTCTCCCTTCCATCTGTATGCAGATGATTTACAGATATACCGACACTTTGAGCTGACCGAGTTGCATGACGCTATTGGTGCATTAAACTCGGACCTTGCTGAAGTCCAATTATGGGCTGAGTCTTTCAGCCTTCTTGTGAATCCCCAAATCACATTACATAATATTTGGCAGTAGTAGACTGAGGTGCAAAATCGACTGAACTTCAATACCTCAAGTCCAGTTTTCTGGTGTTCCAATCCCTTATTGTGATAGAGTGAAAAACTTGGGCCCAATAATGGATTGTAACATTACCTGGGTAACTCATGTCAACGAGGTCAGCAAACGAATGCATCACTCTTTCCACTCTCTTAAGCGTCTCCAATTCTTTCTCCCATTTAGTACCAAGATTATGCTTGCTCAAACCCTTCTTCTCCCCATACTTGACTACGCTGATGTGTGCTATTTGGATGTGACTGAGGAGCAACTTAACAAACTAGAGTGTCTCCAGAATCTAGTTATTCGCTTTATTTTTGGCTTGCGCAAGCATGACCATGTATCAAACTTTCGTGCTCAACTTAAATGGCTCCCAATCTGACTTCGCCGTGATATGCACATCCTTTCCTTCCTCTTCAATATTCTTAACGACCCAAATTCTCCTCCCTA